CATTATTTGTTGGATTTGCCTTTTTTCTGCCCATAACTTGAATTTGAAGATGGAATTCATGCTCATCCCACATTTCATTAGGTGCTTAAATCTGAAACCATTTGTCTAAAGGCAATCAAATGTACGACCAGATTTGTTGCTTTTTATTTTTAAGCAGGGCAGGATTTTTTCCCTTTGCCATAAAGCAGTCAGAGAGAAAACCCTGGAATTTGGGAAAGTCATAAAATAAACGAGATAAAGCAAAAATATTAACGAAGTTGGCAGAATGTTCCTTTAAAAACATTCCCCTACATTTCCAGTTCCTCAAGACATCTTAACAAGGATGTAATTTCCCATTTGCTCTCAGTGAGCAAATCAAACAGGGTGATTTATTATTCAGATGGGCACAAAGGATTTCTGAAATGCAAAAAGAAGGGCTCTAAAAGCACAAGTCATCCGTAATGACGACAGCCTGAACTGCCTTTCAAATATGAACAAAATGCAGCCATTTAGGGGCTCATACATCACGCTCTCCCAGACCCTCATTTATTTCCCAACTCTACAGGCTGCATGAAAATGCACCCAGAATTTGGCACCTACTGAGAACATCTTTATCAGGAAAGTGGTTCCACACCATGGCAGAGCAGCTCAGACTCCCCACCCCTGGAAGAACCACCAAGGCTTCCCAATCACCACTTCAGTTCCCTTCCCAAAAACATCTGTGTGCTGAAAAGAAACTTTTCTGAACTATAAACACAGTGAAAATACGACAAAACTCCCACTCCTATCCCAAGAAAATGCAGATTTTCTTGATAAACATCTCCAGCAATTTGGGCTCCTGATGAGACAGCATTCAACTGGAACCCAAAATCTCAGCTTTAGCTGGTGAGACCTGCTGTTATATTTTTCTTCCAATGATCTGTACAATGGGAAATTGAGAGAGAGAACTAAATCCTGCTCATTCTTATCCCAACGAAGCACAGAAATAACCATCAGAGCTAATGAGGTTACTCAGCATTTTTCTTCTCTGAGCAGAAAACCCACAAAGAGCAGTTCCCTCAATCAGCTGTTTAATATTTCAGCTGTGCACAGGTATTATGGGTATTAGACACATATTCTTAAATCCACTTTATCTTCAAAATGTTCCTTTAAGTAAAGAGATGTGGAATTAGCACTTTATGTATAAAGAACTGACATCAGCAGAGGCTCAAATGAATTTTCCAAGCTCATGGAAAAGACTTGTTATGGAGCAAGACACCCCAGCAAATCTCCCAAATTTCTGCCAAATGACTCCAAGAGACCTTTTCCTCTGCATCACAGCCAAGCAGAAAATATCCTGCCCCAAAGCAAGGAGCACCTCCCAGGATTGGACTGTTTGAAATTCCAGCCAAGTTTGCTTCACCTCAGCTGGAGCAGAGGAGCATATTTACCATCCCTCCATTTCTGTTCCAATGGCAGGCTGGAGGAAATAAATAAATTAATTACCAATTTAGCCCAGAAAGCCAGGCAGTTATCACCCAAAGGCATGGAAATAACCACCTAATTAATGGGAATGAAGGTTCAGCAATGTGAAAATTCCTGGTTTTAGCAAAGGCTGGGTGGCAGCACTGGTCCCAAGTGATTACAGAGAGAAAAGGCACAACTTTGTCCACAGCTCTGCTTCAAACCAAGTGAACTTCACCCTTCTTTCCTCTCCAACACAGGTGGGAAGTTCTGCCATAAATTAGCCTGGTCCTAAGGAATTAATATCCCTGAGAACTCAGCTCAGGCATGTAGTGTTGGGAATTAAATTATGCCTCCTAATATAATTTACTTAACATAGGTTTGACAATCCCACTGGTGCTGGTTTATCATCCTCCCTCCCCACTCTGGTGCTCACCAAACACCTGGCAGGTAACTCAAGCTCTGGCTGCCACTTGCTTTTCCCTGAGCTGCATCCAAGCTTTCCTGCACAAGAACTTCACAGACTGTTCCAGAAAATCACATTTGAGTGCTCCACTGTCAGACCTGCGTGTTCTAGAGGAGCATAATCCCACAAAGCAGCTGCTCTGCAAAAAAATCCCCCCAGGCACAGCATTTCCTGGGGCAGTCCTTGAGCTAAAGCTGAGTGAGGGGAGGACAGGCCAGGCTGACCCTCCCACAGTCACCCAGATGTGTCCTCAGAAACTGAATGTAAGGAAGAAAGTCAGGTAAAACCTGAAGTCTGTAACACCAGGCTGTGAGGAGTATTTCTGAACACACACACAGGTGCCTCCCTGAATTTATGGTGCAATTAGCAGTGAGGGAGAAGGGCCCCTCACTGCACTTCTCCACACAGAATGCCACTAAAATCCATCTCACTGCCCTCCAAGCCCTGCTTTCCTCACTGCCCCCAGAATCCCAAGGCAGGACTTCCACCTGCACGTGTCACTGCAGCCCCAAGCAGGGCTCACTCCTCCCCGAGTGGAGAAAAAGCCAATCTGGGAGGGTAGGACACTCCGTGAGAGAGAAATACATTTATAACCTAAAGCAACTATAATTAATTGTCTCTTTGCTCTTTGCACCCTCTCAGGCTGAAGCCCAACCCCTCTCTCCCCTCTCAAGCATCTCTTCAACACTACATTTCACTCTGCAACAGTCATGCTCAGCATTTTGAAAGGCTAAAATATTGACAAATGGGTGATGAAGCATTTCCAATTTCCCAGTGTATTTACTTCTATGTGCTGTTACAGTAACATGAAGCATGATAATCACAAAACACTTCATTCTTCACAAACCCTGATTTAAAAAATCCCTGTATACACCAATGGTGTCAGCAGTTACACATGAATCTGGTCCACATCAGAAAGTGCTTTTTAATTCCCTAAAAACCTCCACAAGATGCTGTACAGTTTATAAGTGGGGCATATGCATAATGCTGTGCAAGACTAATCAGCCTTGAGACAACAGCTTCTAAATATCATTATGGAGAAGACAAGAATGATGTTTAACTGCTGCTTCTGTCAGACAGATTCTCCTTTCAAGTCACTCAGGATATCAAGTTATAGTATTTCCTTCCAGTAATCATGGGCTGGATAAACTCACATTTTCAGCTTGTGAAAAAGCAGCAGCATCTCCTAGCACTGATCTCTTGGCTCTGAGGAAGTAGCCTGTGTTATTTCAGACGTGCTCACCCTACCATGTAATTTTACCCACGTCTGTATCCAGGCTGCAGCCAAAAACCACATTTATTTTCGTAGAGAGAAATCCACAGAGGACCTGGAATACAGCAAGTCAGCACTGCTGGAAAGAAAAACAAAAAGAAAAAAAAAATAACAGCATGGTGGCTGCTGTTGCATCAATAAGCAGGTCGATATTGAAGTTCTTTGGGAAAAAAATAAATCTGATAAAATACCATGAGAAATGCTGACTGATCCAAGCTGTGTGACAATCCCTACCGGGGCAGAGCAGCGGGTGCTGAGGAGGGCACAGCCCTGGCACCATCGCTGAGGGATAAGGAGCAGAGGGAAGGAAGGGGCAGCGGCAGCACCTGCACAGGTACAGGCAGAGCGGCGGAGCTGCCCTCTGCTGACTGCCTGATTTCCGAGCGCCGCTCCGATCGCTCCTGCTCAGCCTCACCGCGATGCCGGGCTGCCCGGGGCTCCCTGCCCACGGATGTCACACACCGGGTACCACCCGGACCCACGCGGGTCCCCTG